GAATCAACTTATTCCAATCTCTTATTAATGTTGATATTCTCGACTCTTCTCAGGAGCCACAGATGTTCTTATTGGCACTTAAAAATTGTGACTCCTTTTAGAACGTTTTCAAGTTATTCTCCCCACATCCGTAAGAGGAAGCAGACTTGAAAGCCAAAACCACTCATGATCGATGGGTTACAGAATGGATACTGTGTTAGCAGAAAGAAAACAACAGGGGTTAGTTTTCCTGTTGTTTCTACATTTGTTTGTACATCTCCATCAGAACTCTTGAGTGACCAAGTGCACACTGTCAACGAGTAGTATTATCCGGAAAGAAATCCTTTTTCCTGAGCAGTAGATCTCAACAGTGAACCTAAAATATCCGATAAACCACACTGTGCTGTCATGTCAGATGTGTGGTCATGAAGCCTTGCTGTTCCACTGATGGGGCACAGGTAGAGTAGACTTTACATAATTCTTAAGAGTCCTAAGATTTTCAGAATCATAAAGGACCACTTGCTTCATCTTAAATTCACCTGCTGCATTAGCTCCTAACAAGAGGGAGCCTGTCCTTTGAAGACAAATACTGATTTCTCCTCTCTGGCTGGGAAAGTCCTAGGTGGGATCTTCTTCCAGCAGAAAGCCATTTTGTCTACACTGAAAACCTGCTTAATGTAGCAGTCCTCATCACTGTCACAGCTAGGTCTTCGGGAGAACTTGCTGAGGCTTCTCTGTATCTGCTGCTTCACTTCGCATGTTTAGATTATGAGGATGGCTTCATCACGAACCAACCTCTGCTAGATTCAACTTTTTCTCTGTCAGCTTCATTGCTTCTATAGTCCGAATCAGGAGTGTCCCTCAAAAGCCCAAATGTGAAAAGCTTATTCCCCAGGCTGGTGTTACTGGCAGGTGGTAGAAACTTTGAAGAAGGGCCTAGCAGAAAGTCTTCCAGTCACTAGGGTACACCCTTCAAAGGGGTAAGAGAAATGTACTGCCACAGCCCCTTAGCAATGGAGGCCAGTCAGTCATGAACTAAAACCTCCAAACTGTGACCCAAAATAAACCTTTCCTCAGCTGACTTATCTCAGACATCAGTTGCAATAGCAAAAAGCTGGCAAATGCACACACCTTTTTCAGCCTTCACAGAACTGAAGAGAGTTAGGGTCTTGCTCTGGATGAGGCTTCAGATTAAGGAAATGAGGTTTGAGCTGGGCGTGGTGGTACATGCTGTAATCCCAGCACTCAGGAGACTGAGGCAGGATTGCCATCAGTTCAAGGCCAGCATGAACTCATAACACCACCCTGTCTCAAAAACAACAAAAACAAACAAACAAACAAAAGGATATGTAGTTGGTTTGATCTATCCAGGTCACTATAATTTCTCCAAATCAGATTCACTGCATTCACTGCATTAGCAGTTTTAATTTCCTTCAAGTTTTTCTTTTGCATTTGCATTTACATCTTAGTTAATTATTTGGCACAAGAGGCCTAGCTTCTAGCCTGTCTTAGCTTTCAACATGCCTTTCTTACTAAGCTTGACCATTTCTAGCTTTTGGTTTGAAGTGAGAGATATGAGACTCTTTCTTGCACTTGAGCACTTAAGGGCCACTGTGAGGTTATTAATTGGCCTGATTTATTATTGTGTCTCAAGGGATAAGGAGACCCAAGGAAAGGGACAAATGTAGGAGAATGGCCAATTGGTAGTACAGCCAGACATACATTTATGGATTAAGTTTACTCTTACATAACCCTCTTAAACAATTACCATGGTAATATCAATGATTACCAATCATAGGTCATGATTAACAGGTAACAATGAAAAAGTCTGGAAGACTGTGAGAATGAGCACAATATTACCAATTCAAAAATACAAAGTGAGCACATGCTGTTGGCAAAATGGAGTCGACGCTTTCTCAACCTAGTGTTGCCCCCTTCAATTTGTAAAACAGGTAATAACTACAAAGAGCACTAAAACAGGTATGCCTACATTTTATTACATGAATTTGTATAATTTACATCAGTTTAAGTTGCGAATGAGAAGATGGTAAGAGCAGGTTTACCTTGAAGCTTTGAAATTAGATATCTGTTGTTCCTATAAGCTGTTTATGGAACTGTATCTGCTGTTCCACAATGCACACGTGTTTGTGTACAGAAACCAGTGTGAACATAAATGATGTAATGAAAGCAAATCTCCAATTATTCACTGAGTAATACTGCTCCTACACAATCTTTTGTGTAGTAGAAGGAAAAAAACTTCAGTTTTATCAGGAAGTTTTACTTTTGCAGGCCCCATTAATTATGGATTCTTTTGTCTGTTTGGTTGGTACCAGGAATTGAACTCACAACCTCACACTTGCCACGAGGCGCTGTGCCGCTGAGCTATATCCCCAGCCCCAATGGCTTCTTACCTGACAGTTTATCTTCAGATTCCTAACACTATCACAGGATATATTAATCGTGAAAATTAATGACAGTATGATCTCTTAAATTTTTTTTTTTTTTTAATCTTTTTGAGACAGGGTCTCGCTATGCAGTTTAGGCTGGCCTTGAGCTCACTTTGTAGCCCAGGCTGGTCTCAAACTTGCAGTGATCCTCCTGCTTCAGCCTCCCTTACAGGCGTGTACCACTACACCTGGCTTTTGATCTCGTAAATTTTTTGGAGAAAAATTTTCAGTATCATTTGGTCTTTCATGGTGAAAAACAGATCAGTCATCAGGTTTCAGCTGCAGGTTTAATTCTTTAAAAAAACTTAAGCCATAATCCTTACTAGGTAAGTATTACATCTGATTTTAAAAGCAAAGTCTAAAATAAAACATTGCTACATGGGACCTCAATAGCTACTCTCAATATACTAAATCTTCATGTTAGGCTGGAAATCTTTATCATGTCTGTTTTCCACAAGAAAATTTCTGCATCCAGTTTCTTCCAATCTGTCATACTTACAGGTTGAAACCCTTTTATAATCACACGCAGTACAGTTCAAATGACCCTTGCTACAAAATTGCAGTTGAAGAGGGCTGCTAATCAGTCCATCCACTAAGAACTCTGTTCTACCAGATGAACTGCTGGAGGCCCCACCTGGAGGGCGGCTAATCAGAATGGCAACTTCAAATCACTGGTTCTTTCAAACTGAAAACTCTGAGCTGTGAGTTGTGATACTAAAGTTGGGATATCAGAGTTTTGCTGCTAACCTGGCTGTTGATTCTCTGAGACTGGACAATTCCTCTCCTGTCACTCCACTTCCTAACTTAAAATGGAAAAAATAAGGCAGTCCTGCCCAATTCACTGACTATTATAATAGAAGATATTATGCAAATAAAGCATTTAAAGTTTTGCACAGAATTTTGTGTGTGCATATGTGGTACTGGGGATTGAACCCAAACCTTTTCATGCGCTAAGCAAGCACTCTGAGCTGCATTCCCTCTGAGCTACATCCTCCGCCCTTTCTAAATTATATTTTGAGACAGTCTCTTGCCTCAGCCTCCCAAATAGCTAGACTTATAGCTGCATGCCTCTATACCCCACTGTTAAGAATTATTTACATGCAAAAAACTATTATAAATCTTTACACTGTTCTGGGACAATAATATTAATGGACTCAAATGATCCAAAGTTCAGATAGCCTCTCACATATCGAACAATCATGGAGCACTGCTTACTGATAGGAATAAATCAGTCGGATCCAAACAGTATGGTTTTAGTTTTTATTAGACATTTAGAACACTGTAAATATCTAATAATTATTAAAGGAAAGTGAGACTATTTTAACTATTAATTCCAAATAAAGACAATGAAGTAAATATAAAATGCAGGGGTTTTTAAAAGATTTTTTTTTTATTTTAAAGAGAAAGATCAAAAAACAATAAAAATGATGATACACAATTTCAAAACAAGATAATAGAAAATTAACAATGGTTATTATATTGCCTATTACCTTCAAAGTAGTTGCTCAGCTTACAAGATATAGGTATACAAAACTGATCAAACAGTGTAAGCACAAACCGTTCTGTTCAATGAACTAATAGAAATCAGTCATATAATTATCTTAGCTATCTTGTGTATGTATGTATATTTTTTTTCTTTCCCTCTCCCAGTTGTTCTTTCCTTCTGAGCAGCTTCTTCCTTTTCACAATATCTATTGTGTATTTTGGACCTTATTTACTAAAACGCAGGTATGCTTACACAGAATGTACCACATAACTAGACACCAAGCTATTTTCTATAAATATGACAGAACAAAATTACTGTTTCTCTCCTTCTATCCTGAAAAATCATCTAAAAGTAAGATGAGGAAGGAAAACCAGAATCCTCATTTTTAGAAAAACTAGTAGACAAACCACAAAATGAGTACAAAGGCTGCCAAAGGAATAAGAACGCAGGTTGTTGGCAGCAGACAGAAAATACTATAAGAACAGACATCAGAAAGAACAAAGTATGCTTCCTACCACACAAAGGTGTAAACTCCTTGTTTATATCAATAGGAATGAGGTACAAGGGCTGACCACTAAAGCTCCCAGGAAGTGATTTGGTTCTAAGAAGTAGAGGAGACAGTGCTGAAAAGGAATCTCATAAATTATGTTTACACAAAGAAATCTATCTCCATAGCTACGGGAGACAAGAAATTTTATATGATGGAAATCTCCAAAGTGTCTACCTCTATTGCCAGGGGGCAGAAAAAAAGTGAAAAGAAATAATCAAATAGTTAAAACAGAACATTCACATAAAAATACTAATGAAAATCATGATAAATGCTTTATCATAAATTAATAACACCTAATCCCAGCCACTCAGAAGACTGAAGGGGAATTACAAGTTCAAAGTCAGCCTGGACAATTTAGTAAAATCCTACCTTGAGCTAAGAAAGAAATAAATGAAAAGGTCTGGGTCTGTAGCTCAATGGCAGAACATTTGTCAAGCATGAGCAAAGCCCTGGGTTAAATCCCCAGAATGTCAAAGAAGAAAAGGAAAACAAAATTATTGACTACAATAATCTCAAAGTAACGTAATCAATCACTTACCTCAGATTCATACTTCATTTTTTCTTCTTCTAAAATACGTGTAAATTCTTCTTTCTGGTGTTCAAATTCTGACTTAAGAAATGTATGTTCATAGCGAAGCTTATTATATTCAGATCTATACTTTTCCACTTCCTACATTAAAAGGAGATTGCAAGTCATGATAAATTTGTAGGTAAAATTTGTACTCATTTTAACAAATATAATTTTAAATTATATTAAGAGCCATTCTAAAAGTAAAAATATATATTTAACAGAAGTACAAATGAAACTTGGAAAAGTCCCTTCAAATATCCTACAAGCAAAATTAATATACTCCTGAGAAGGTACCAATAAAGCAAATTATATTCAATTAATGTTATTCTTTCACTGATTCTTATTATAATAAAATGTACAGCATGACGAAAGTTTTATCTCTTGGCTTCATAAATAATATTTAACAAGGCAACAAACTTCTCAAAATACAGCTAGATTTTTAAAGTATAAGATACCCCTCTAAAAGAAAGATTTCATCAAAGTAGATAAAAGATCATTTGAATATTTAGTGTAGTAACTTAGTGTTCCATAAGATTTTACACAGATGGTGCGAGTCCACACACCAGCTGACACATAAACATAGTGCCATCTTTCTTGGGTCCTGAGGGGCACCAGTCCTGTATCCTTACAATCTACGAAACTATTCTGAATACTCAACAAGAAACTTAGGCAGCAGGGAAGAAAGATGCAGAAGACACTATTGCAACCAATATCACAAAACTGCGTAGTAAGGAAAGTATGTCTCCTAAAATATTCAGATCATTGTAAATCTTGAGTTGAAAGACTTCTGAGCCAGTTTATAAACCAAGAAAATCAGTTTCATATTAGAGATATTTTTTGTTTTGAATTTAAAAGCATGCTTTTACTTAACTTGATCACCTACTTTGGACCTGAGTAATTTCATTTCCAAATATTAATCCATCCTAAGCCATGATACTTTACCACTAGAAGTATATTTGGAATATCATAGTATCAAGCCAGTAAGCCATTATGAAAGAGGATTCCACAACTGTCTTGTGTAAATGGCAGCATATCAGACTATGACCTTCCAAAGGGGTCTACTTTGAAGGAGACAATAATCTGTACAGGCCTGGTATGTTTGTTTTTAAAGGCAACATATGAAATGTCTGGCATAACACCTAATCTATTTCTTTGCAGTCTTTCCCAGTCCCCTTTATTAAACATTTATATTATACCAACACTTCATAAAATGAGTTGTCTTATCTTGAAGTAAAACTAACAAATACTTTCCTTTCTGACACTGCATGAAACTCATTCTTTCATTCAACAAATATTAACTGGGCACAGTATGTCAGAAGCTGTTCTAGGAACTTGGAAAGTAACAGTGAATAAAACAGATAAAGGTTATTTCTCTTATGCAACTCCCATTCCAGAGTTGCTAACACAGAAAAGCATAATTAACATAGCACATTAGAAGATGACAGATACTAGAGCAGTGGTGGCAAACCTATGGCCGTGTGCCACAGCAGGCATGGCGGGCCCTCTCGGTCAGCACACAAGCCAAGTCGCTGCAGCAGCCACAGTCAGATAACAGTTTTTTTTCTAAACCAAAACCTCAGTATTCAGGTTTAATTGCAGTGTTGGCACTTTGCGATAAATAAATGGATTTGGGTTTACAGTTTGGGCACTCAGTCTCTAAAAGGTTCTCCATCACTGCAGTAGAGGGTAAATAAAAATTGAGCAAGATAAAGAGGATCCAAAGGTTGAAGCAGTGATGGGAAAGGCAGGCTGCAATGTTAGAAGGGAAATTGGAGCGGGAGCAATTAAAGTGGCCTCAGTGAGAAAGGAACATTTTAGGCAATGACTTGCAAAAGATAAAGCAACAGTTAGCCAAGAGATATCTAGATGAAGAATAGTCAAAGCAGAAGTAATGCTGCTAAAGCACTCTTGAGCTGCATTATTTCTGGAGTGCCAAAGAAAACATCAGTAGGATGTAGGTGGAGGAAAAGGTGTAAAGGAAAGATATTTTACGTCATGTAACTCATAATCACATGACAGCAAACATACAGTTCTACACAATTACTTACTTCATCCAGATTCCGAAAACGCTCTCGCATCGGAGTTTCTAACTCTTGTTGTATCTGGGCTTTTAACAATTCCAATTTCTGCGGAGTTAATACCTTATATGTAGAGAAATAGAAACAATTCCAAATATAAAATCATATATGTATGGAAATAAAGGATTCTCCAAATTTCTAAGCCTCTCTCAATTATGACAATGAAATATAATTCATAGATGTTTCCATAATAGAGATAAATTTATGATAATTACTATATAAATAGGACCATAGCTTCAAACAATACTTTTAAGAATCTCAGTCTGGGATGGGGTATAGCTCAGCGGCACAAGCACCTCCCTGGCAAGCACAAGGTCCTGAGTTCAATTCCTGATACCCACAAAAAAAAAAAAAAAAAGAATCTCAATTTCTGGTTCTCAGAAGTGTGAAAAAAATCCATTAACATGAGCTAAAGACAATCACTAAGTGTTACCACGATTATTAAGAATAACCATATTGTCAGCTAAGACTAGCATGTTGAACACAATGCCTGTGGCCTAGCTATTTTCTAAAACAGGCAAAGGCACAATAATTTGTTATATCCAGGAGAATTCCTCAGACTTATTTTCAGTGAGAAAAGACTGATTGTTTCTCAGACCACCAAAGTTAATTTAGGCTCCTCCCTGTCACACACTTTTACAGAACTCATATTTCAAAAAGCAAGTAAATATTTCTGGAAGCGGCAGGTGGGCAGACACCGCTGTCTTTAATCATCCTTGCATTCCCAACACCTCCCACCGTAGCCTGCCATGCAGAAATCACTCCAGCACTCCTTCACAAATGAACGAAGAAACAAATGAACAAATACCGGTTGTAAAAAAAAATCAGTTATTTATATGAGTCTCTGTGAAAATAAGAATGTTCAGTTTAATTATTCATCAATATTCCATAAACTTTATTCGAAACAGTACTAAAATTTTACTGAAAAGCTACTAAACACAAGGCATTTTGCAATGTACTATAATCTATCTGTTCTAAGCATTTCACATGCATTAATATATTTAATCTCCATTGATATGGCGTGTATCTAGATGTCCCCCTAAAGTCTCAGGCAGTCATGAGTCAATCCCAGCATCACAGCCTTGATTCTACCTTGATCCAATCATGATGCTAGGATCAAGGATGTGATGCTAGGATTGACTCATGGTTTAATGCTAGGCTTAAGGGTATGAGTACTACCCACCCTAAGGGCTGGTATCCTGGAGAGAGACAGAAGGAGGTCATTGCTTGCTGCCTGCTGCTTGCTATTTTGTTGTTTTGCTGCCTTTTGCCAGGCATGGACTATATCTCCTCTGCAATGCCTGCCTGCCATGCACTCTGCCAACTATGGACTGAAATCTCCACAAACTGTGAGCTGCAATAAATCTTTCCTCCTTCACACTGGGTGTCGGTTATTTTGTCTTAACAAGAAAAGTAACTAAGCCATAATAATTCTATAATGTAGCTACATGGAGGCAAGTAGCTAAATAACTTTCTAAAGATCACAAAGATGACACATGAAACATACCATTCCATAAGAAGTTCAAACTCTGGTATGAGAAATAACTCATACATGTAAGTAACTATAAAGCAGTTAATATAATGTAATGAACAGGGATGAATGAACAGAAAAGACATTTTGGAGAGAAAGACTGATGCACCAAAGGAATGGGAAAGCTAAAGCACGGATACAACCCAAATCACCAAACAGATAAAATTTCAACTTTCCTGAGGTGGCAGACTCAGGAAAGTCTCCAAAAAGTGCTTCTCAAAGGTGAGCTACAGGCACTTTGAATGGAACCACAGTAAGCATTTCAGTAAAGTTAGAATTCTGGGTTCCTTTACATCAATGGTGGGAGAAATTTCTCTAGACACTGTGGCAACATTATGCTGGCATATTTCCAAATGCCACATAGGAAAACAACTGACTGCAAAAGATGATACAAAAGCTTTGTGTGAAAACAATAACCATGGTAAAGAGAAGTGGTGAGCAAGGTTAGAGAAATTAAATAGAAAGCTCACACCATGACCAGGTTTTTGGTGTCAAGCATGGGTGATAGTATCAACAGTAGAAGTGAGAAAAGTTGGTAATTAAAGGAAAAATATTAATACAGAAAGATTATTTCTATTTAGATCCTGTTTCAAACAAGTCAACTTTGTGGGGGAAGCAGTGCTGGGGATTAAACCCAGATCCTCGCCTATGCTGGACAAGCAGTCTACCACTGAGCCATATTCCCCAGTCCTTTTAAAACTGCATCTTAAGACCAGTTCTAAGTTGCCCAAACTGATCTCAAAATTGTTCTCTTGCCCAAGCCTCCTGAGTGGCTTAGATTACACGCATTGCCACTGTGCCTGGTACAAGCCAACTTTAACAACAAGCAAAACTGTGGAACACTTAAGGAAATTTGAACAAAGATAAACTATTAAAAAGTAACATGGGGGGCTGGGGATTTAGCTCAGCGGCAAGGCGCCTGCCTGGCAAGCGCAAGGTCGTGAGTTCGGTTCCCGGTACCGGAGAAAAACCAAAAAACCAAAAAAAAAAAAAAAAAAAAGTAACATGGAAGAAGTATTTAAATATGATAAGCTTAGGTTATACTTTTAAAAGAGGGATTCTCTCAGTGCAAAAGAGATATATATGGATTATTTAGGGTTGAAATAATACTTGATTCCAAGTAGGCTATATGGGTTGACAGAGTGGAAGGAGAGGTAGCACTTAAAACAAGACTGGCTCAGAGACTGTTACGGATGGTAGGTGACGAGTATGTGAGAATGTCTTACTCTACTCTCTACACTTCTCCAGCACATGCTAGAGCATTTCATAATTAAAATTTAATTAAAACTGAAAGAGCTTCCACTTCCAGCCAAGAGAAAATAATGAGAGTAGCTACACTCTCCTGCATGAGAAAAACAAATGGACAAAAATTAAGCAACAGTTTTTTAGACACTGGACATAAAAAAGCTAGCACAACAAAGGTGCACTTTTAGGAGATTCCAGGACATGACACAAGAAAACATACCCAGGAAGAATCTGATGAATTCCTAACTCAAAGAGACAGAAATGAGGATGAATTCAGGGAAACCAGAGAGGTTAGTGTCACAACCTAAGGTCACTAACAGAAGAGTACACAGAGAACTACGAAGATCTACAACAAGTCTTGGCTCATTTAGCAGAGCAGCACACACGTATAAGAAAACTACCTAAGACAAAAAAAGAACCACCAAAAAGATTAGAGGGATCAGCACTTATAACACACACACACCTACGTGTAATTTCTGTTCCCAAAGCCACAGGGGAAAGTTTCATTTCACAGAAAAATTAGTGATCAGTAGGATGCTGTCTTAGCTGTGGGAAACAGTTAGTACTACACTAACTGTTCTGTCACATAACAAATCTTAAAAAGCAGGACCCAGAAAGATGAATCTGTTTCCAAGTAACTTTACTGTGTCAAGAACAAAATTTTAAGAATGTTTATCTCAGAATACAAAAAATGTCCAGCACTCAACAAAGTAAAACACACAATATCCAGCTAACATACAATAAAAAATCTACAGACATGCGAAAATGCAGGAGTACCGAAGGAAAAAGAAATCAATCTAAAATAAAGAAGTGACACAAATGTTAAACATTTAGATGGTTAATATAAAGTTACTATACCTTAATCCAATCAGTTTGAAAAACTAAAGACTGAATATATTAAGTAGAGTCAAAAAACATATAAAAAGCATAAAATTACATTTCTCAAGATGAAAACTATAATTTCTAAGATTAAAACATATACTGCATGGTAATGATATACAGCATATACAGAACAAAGACAAGACTGACAGCACATTTCTTGTGTGCAAACAACCTAAACAAGACCACCGTAGAGCTACATCTCCAAGTTACTGGGGTAAAAGAACTGTCAACTGAGAATTCAATATTCAGTGACAAAAAAGATGGACACAGTAGTGTACAACTATAATCCCAGCTACTTGGAAGACTAAGGTAAGAGGCTTACAATTCAAGACCAGATTGGACAACTTAGTGAGACCCTGTCTTTAAAAAGAAACAGCTGAAAAAATTTTCTAACCAACAGAAGAAATGTTAAACAACATCCTTAACAGAGAGAAAAATTTTATAAATCTACCAGATGGGAATATGGATAAACAAAGAAATGAAGAACACTGAATCTGACAGCTAAGTAGGTAAATACCTGAGAATTTTTCTTATTATTTAAATCTATTTAAAAGACAATGACCTTCTTAAACAAAAATAACAACATAGGCTTTACAGCTAGGGTAGGCAGAGACTTACACTCAAAATAAAAGATGTGTATAATAATTTAACTCAAAGAGCTAAAACTAGTAAGAACAAAGAGGATAGAGGAGAGTCAGAAAAATAAAAAAGATTAAGAAAAATGAAGCAGGAAACAAAGAATGCAACATGTGGAAATCAAATATTAAGATAGTATATTAAAAACTAAGATTATTAATAATCACAGTAAATGTGAAAACCCTAAATACCCATATTAAAAGGCAGAGGTTATTAGGAGAAACTACAGAAATATACAGGCTGTCTATAAGCTAAATGAATAAATAAATCATTGTTCCCATCAGCCTTAAGTAAAAACTGCAAATTAAACATAAATCAGTAAAGAACAATCTAAATACATATTTTGACCAACAAATTCAACTACTCAGATCATCAGATCCATAAATAATCCAGACACAAAATAACTTGTAATTATCTTTATTAAACTCCCATAATTTTTTTTAATTATCCATAATAAATATCCTGGATTAAAGAGGCAATACAATTGCCTACCGCCTGTACAATATAATTGCATATACTGCAAATGCCAGTACTCTCTACATGTACAATCCTTGTTTTAAAACTCAAAGAGAAATTTAATTTGAGCTACCAAAAAATGATAAATATGAGAAGTTAAAAAAAAAAAAAGAAGTTAATTAGCTGGGTTTAGTCATTCCACACAGTATACACATACCAAAATGTGTTATAAACTATAAACATATAATTTCAATTGTAGATTTAGAAAGAAAAGATTCACTTTGATTCACATGCCATTACAACTTATTAATGC